CTTGATATTGCTCTCACTTGAAGGATTGCCAGAGTCAACAAGTCTAAGCTCTTGGGGGCAAGGACTCAGGTCTTCAACACGTAGAACAAGGCTTTATATATACTAGGCATTGGAATACCCATTTTAATGGTATTTTTTCCTGACTAGGTAAAAATTGGTGTGAAGAAGACATGGAGAATGGAGGATGTGAATACCTATGCCTGCCAGCACCACAGATTAATGATCACTCTCCAAAATATACCTGTTCCTGCCCCAATGGGTTCAATCTAGAGGAAAATGGCCGAGACTGCCAAAGTAAGGCATTTTGTGTTTCAACCACAAGTAGAACATACAACAAGCAATATAAGACACAAGCTTGGATTTTTAAGAATTCTGTTTTAGCTAATTCTTTGAATAGATTTGAGAAGATATCTGCTATTGTTGTATGCCGGGTTATCATGTCATTTCTTTAGAACTGACTTTAACCCATGTCAACATTAAATGAGTTTATAGGAGACTATAGTGTCAACATACCTTATACTAATTTGTACCAGTTAGTCCCTTAACAGCACGGAGCTAGCCGACTTGCAGGTAATTAAACGAGGCCTTAACATTTTTCCTCAAAGGGAGGAGGACAGAAACTATGCTTAAGGAAGGCCATGGTTACAAAAACCTCATTGCCTCGTGGGTGACGCTTACCTAAAATAACACTTAAGCTGAATTTGCATTTAGTCTTCTGTTCTTAGCTTTTGATTAAGTGGCAAATTAAACTCCTTTGTGTGGCCAAGGAGCTCATATGGTGAGGCTGGTGAGGTTTTTACTAGCATGATTCATGGTCAGGTCACGGCAGGGATTAGCTCAGTTTACCAAGAAATTAGTTGCAAGACAGTCTGGTATGCCTGCTATACCAGAGCATCTTGAAAACATTTCTTGTAATTTCCAGGAACGTGGGATATTGTTTAGAGGGATAAAATATGGTTGTCCATCATTTTGAATTGTCAAATTCCAAATACCGACTGTTCTTCCCAAAGTTTCATGGTATCTCTTTTTGCATGAAGATTGCTATTTCAATTTTGACACATCAGCTGTACAACTTAGTTCAGCAGTGGTTTGTCTCTTTTACCTGGTTTTAAAATAACCTTTTGCATGGCTTGTCTGGACAAAAGAGCTAGCCATTCTGGAACCTTGGCATTAACCAGGTTCTTGGTTTTTATAATTCAGGTACTGCAACTACTGTGACTTACAGTGAGACAAAAGATACGAACACAACAGAAATTTCACCAACTAGTGGACTAGTTCCTGGAGGTATCGAGTTCAGTACTGCAAACTGTTAATCTCCACTAACAGCCACACTCTTTGTATCTATAGCTTAAATAATTAATGCAACCTTTAACTACTATTTCTGCCCCAATTGGTAACCTATATTTAAACACCAAAGACTTAAAATTTGCATATCTTTTCCTGACTGATCTTTAAGGTTTCTAGTAGAGAACTGTCAGTGAAATGGCTACTACAGCATGTGACTCAAATACTTCTAGGCCAGAGTTGTTCCTGGTGTTCAACTGTAGTAGATAGTGAACATCAATGTTGGATGCAAAGGTTTTGGCTCCTTACCTGATGGGTAAATCTCTAAATCTTAATACAGACCCTTCTAAACGGATTCCTTTTATTCCTCTGTAGGGATCAATGTGACCACAGCAGTATCAGAGGTCAGTGTTCCCCCAAAAGGGACTTCTGCCGCTTGGGCCATTCTTCCTCTCTGTAAGTAGATTTCCTACAAGTCTGGGTTCAAGAACTACTTAGATACCAGACGAATATTTTTTGTTCATCTGGAGCTACCCTTTTATGCTGTCATAGCACTTATGACACTGAATTATATTCACTTTCTCCCCCACATAGTACACTAAATTAAGGCCCATATCTTTCTCTTCATTTGTGCCGTTGGCACAGTAACTGGCATGATAAATGTTCAACAGTTAATGCTTTCCACTTCAGCACTGTTAGCCTGGCTTGTCCCCTTATAAGTCTCTTTAACTGCTCTTCTGTTCCCCCTTTGAAATGCGTGTAATGTTTTATACAGAGGAGATGCACAAATGCTTAAATGCTTTCTTGAAGAGTTACAGGACTTGTTGAGGGTAAATTAAAAGCAGTTAAGAATTTTCAAACCTATGGAAAAAGGACCTCAAACTATTATGAGACATGCGAATTACAAGGACTTGGCTATAAAAGCCTTTGTCCTAAATTAATAGATTCCAAGCTTAGCTAACACACCAGGAACACCTGAATAGCTCTCCAGAACCTTCTGCAATTTTAATTTGGTGAGCCTAAAGTGGGACCGAGGACCCTGCCCTTGCCTGGATGGATGTGGCTAGCCCAGCTCCAGTGCATAGAACTACCTCTGGACTGAACTTGTTTCAAGCTCCTGGCCCATGTTTATTCCAACTTCTAGTTATCCTAGCTCCATAAAACATAACATTTTTACTAATGTCAATTATTATGGATTCCTGAACATTATTACCTTTCTTGTATGTTCCAATATTAGACTTAACTCACTTAGCTACCCTCTGATTTTTTTCAGTGCTCTTAGTGATGGCAGCAGTAGGTGGCTACTTGATGTGGCGGAATTGGCAACACAAGAACATGAAAAGTATGAACTTTGACAATCCTGTGTACTTGAAAACCACAGAAGAGGACCTCTCCATAGACATCGGTAGACACAGTGCTTCTGTTGGACACACATACCCAGCAGTAAGTCAGCTTTGTGTCTTTATATACCATGGCTTGAAGTGAGACTTTTCAGAAAGGAGACCTAGGCTAGAAAGAGAGCCATTAGAATGATGGAGTTACCAAATACTTCATCTGCCACCTGGACATTAGACAGTGTAGCCTATTAGAACATAAGTCAGTCAGTTGATCAGCATCTAACCCTCACCAAATGGCAAGAGGGTCAACTTAAGGTCACCACTATATTAAGATATTTTTGGTTATAGAAATGACATGTAAATATTAGCATGAACCAAGTAGCTCTTTACTGAACTATTAAATCCATTGCCTACTGGATATTTGAAAGTAAATTAGCATATCCTATATAGGGGAGTTGGCTTAAAGTCAGTGTATTGAGTAAGATTCACTTAGCCAAAATTATGATACACTTTGCTTTAAAAAGTATCCCACCACACTTAGCACACTTAGTATAGCTAGCTTTTCTTCTAGCAGTAGTCATTCACTTGTTCTTCAGATGAAACCCAAGTGGAGTATTTGGCCTTCACGTAGGAAACAGGCTGAAAAAACCAAGTATTGATTGCTCCCCTCTCAAGCTCTGGTGAAACATGGAACAGTGGTCAATTCTTGACACAGATGGCTTTTCACATTTTTCTCCAAGACTTATGATCATTAAGTAGAAGAGGCAGAATCAGTCACACTATCTTATCTCACTACCAAGCAGGTATAGTTGAATTCAAATTAAATGCATGAATGATACAATTCAGTACTCTTTTGTATCTGACTTTTCTTCTGAGCACTCTGTGTTCGAATGACCAACTAAAAAGCAGGGTCCATTTTAAAGACGAGAGTTGCCATCAGTGAGTGATCACCAAGCTCATTCCATACTTCTTCTTTTCCACAGATATCAGTTGTAAGCACAGATGATGATCTAGCTTGACTTCTGTGACAAGTCTTGACCTTTGAGGTCTAAACAAATAATACCCCCGTCGGAACAGTAACCGAGCCAGCAGCTGAAGTCTCTTTCTTCCTCTCGGCTGGAAGAACATCAAGATACCTTTGTGTGGATCAAGCTTGTGTACTTGACCGTTTTTATATTACTTTTGTAAATATTCTTGTCCACATTCTACTTCAGCTTTGGATGTGGTTACTAAGTATCTGTAACCCTTGAATTTCTAGACAGTATTGCCACCTCTGGCCAAATATGCACTTTCCCTAGAAAGCCATATTCCAGCAATGAAACTTGTGCTATAGTGTATACCACCTGTACATACATTGTATAGGCCATCTGTAAATATCCCAGAGAACAATCACTATTCTTAAGCACTTTGAAAATATTTCTATGTAAATTATTGTAAACTTTTTCAATGGTTGGGACAATGGCAATAGGATAAAACGGGTTACTAAGATGAAATTGCCAAAAAAAATTTGTAAACTAATTTTGTACGTATGAATGAAATCTTTGACCTCAATGGAGGTTTGCAAAGACTGAGTATTCAAACTACTGTACATTTTTTTTCAAGTGCTAAAAAATTAAACCAAGCAGCTTAACCATGGTTTGTGCCTGTTCCTCTAGGATGAAATCCTAGCCTGAGTAGTATCAAGTGTTCTGTGTGAGCTATAATTCTTGATGTTGTATAACTAAGCCTGTAATTGGGCTAGTTTCTCTTACACCCAAGTACAGCTAAAAAATGAAGTACTGTTTAACATTTGCTCCCAAAATATTTCTTACTGTGTAAAAGAAGCTAGCTTAGTCTGTACCTAGAATTCCTTTTGGTTAGAGGAGATTCTTTTCCATTAACTTGTTTCCTGATCGAGAAACACATGCTAAGATTTCTATGAATTCTGCTTCTTTATAGTTAAGTCTGTTTTCCATGTTCTGTCATTTATTTAGGTCAAGGACAAGTGCCTTCTAAGGCATGGATAAGGGCTTTCTTCTTATAAAAGTCTAGACTGTCTTACTGTGAAGATGCCCAGGGAGGATAGCAAGCAATGGCATTCTTGAACAATCTAAGGCAGGGTTCTCAGTGTGGTCCCGGGAACAGAAGCATCTGCATCACCTGGGAATGTGTTAGAAATGCAAGTTCTCAGCCCCATCCCAGACCTACTGAATCAGAAACTCTGCGGGCTAGGGCTGAAACCTGCTTTCATAAGCCCTTCAGGCAATACTGATGTAAACTAAAGCTTAAAAACCACTGTTTTGATGTGACTTCATGAAGAATATAATTATAATATCACCTAAATTTTTATCCTGGCTGGGATAGGGCAGATTCTTATTATGGATAATTTCTGGAACTTACAGTATGAAGAGCAGATGAAGAGTTTGAGACAAAAAGTTGCACAGGGAGTTTAGTGAATTTTTCCATCAGGTTGGCCATTACTTTCTTTCTCTAAAGTCTCAGGATGTCTGGAAGCAAGGAAAGACACAAGACTGGAAGCATCGGGTGGATGCTGTGTGTCACAAGTGAGGTGGAGAGTTGACTGTGGAAGGTACAGCAATTCCTCTGGAATTAAATGACCGACCAACACTGTAGGAAGAAGATGAAGAGAAGATGTTTTAAGTCGCTACATGAATCAGTGGATGACTCATATTTTCACTTGCATATGAAATATAAGGCAGTTAACATCTTGTTTGTGGCTTAAGGAAAGAAATTAATATTACTAGACGAAGGGGAAGTTGGTTCTGTTGTCTTAAGGGATGCCCCCTTGTGATTTTGGTCAACTGAATGAAAAAGGAAAGATAGCCTTGGACCTTTTTTTCATGGGAGGTTTGGAGGTCAAGCATGTAGAAGGAAAAGGCTGTAGTCATGAATATAGAACTGTCTGCTCTCCACCTTTTCCTTACTGTACATTTAGTCATCACACTGAACAGGATGTGGCCTGCTGACAGTGAGTAGCTGAAGTGCCTATTTGGTAAGTAGGTTAGCATTCAACATGAACTCTGAAAGCCATTTCAGTGTTTGAATGCTGCTCTGACCCTGCTATGGTACAAAAAAACATGGATTTTTTTTTTTTAACTGGAGTAATACCAAATTCCCTTTAGAAGCTTGAAGTTTGATACTATTGCTTTCCCCATTATAACGATTATACAGTATTAATTATAAGGCCCAAAGTTTGTTTTGGCAAATAAAGCATTATTCTCTATCATCATCATCTTTTGAATTCCTGTCCCTAGTATGTTCTTTCATGTTCTGGGTACAAATTTCCAACCCTCAAAGAGTCTAAAACATCTCTTTTTTTTTTTTTTTTTTTTTTTACCATGTCCTCCCCAATAAGAAGCCAAGGTACAACTCATTGTACCTAAGAGGTACAAACTCATTTGTAGAAACAAAGTAACTAGATATTCCTATTGAAATAAGAATAAATATACTGGGGGGCCAGGTATGGTGGCTCACGCCTATAATCCCAGCACTTTGGAAGGCCAAGGCAGGAGGATCACTTGAGGCCAGGAGTTCGAGACCAGCCTGAGCAACATGGTGAGACCCTGTCTCTACAAAAAAAATTTATAAAAATAAAAAATAGTTATATGACTAAACTACTAGTCAATACAACTTGTAATAATAGTGCATGAATGATAAGAGGCCTTGGCTTTATCACCCAAACGAGAACCTGAATTCTATGTGAAATGTGTTAGGGTAAGTTTCCTGTGTCTCTAGAGTTTAATGTAGAAGATAATTAAGAGGTAAAATATGAAGCTTACCACACACTAAAGGAGAATATTTGGAGTTAGATGAGCCTGTCACACAAAGTGAAAGTGGACCCTCCAGAAATTTTAGGAATTGCCACAAAGATTGATGATAGGTGAATAAACAGATTTGTGGCCTCTGCTAAAGAAATCCAGCCAAGTTCCTCTGTCCAAATTTTTAAGTGCCCTTTGCAAGCTATCTATTTGGCAAAAGTAGTCCCAGTTGTTCAACTAGTTCCCTTGAAACATTCTAGTAGGTGTTTTAAAGCCTAGGTATCCCTGCCTCTCTAGTTCTTGATGAATACGAGGCAAAAAAAAAAAAAAAAAAAATTGAGACTTGCACTTTGGCATTTGCTTCTGTATCTTATATCTGTGGAAGTCAAATAGCCCTTCGCAAAAATGAGAAGCCAAGCTTTAAATAGCAAACTATAGGATATTAAAAGACTAATTCTTCAGTTAAGAACACTGTTGAAATGGGAGACCAACTTAAAGTCTACCATTCAAGAATCTCTACCCCAAACCTAAAGATTCTAGGGGTCACTTAACTCTATTATATAATCTAATTGGAATAATTTCCTAGAATTCTTACTAGTGAAATCTTGCCCTAGTAAAACAATTTATTATTTTGAATCCAAATGAAAGCTATACATTTTGCTTTCAATGGTGGCAAAAACTTGCAAAAAGCAGATATACTTTTGCTAATTTAAGTTCAAGTACAATGAGTACCACCTGCTAATCTTGATCCCCAAATCTGAGCCCTTCAGTTTCATAATTGTTTTATCCTGAAGGTCGTTGTGACATAGACATTTCTCAAAAGGGTCTGATACATCAAACTCCTAACAAGTAGGAGTAGCAACTAGTGAAAGAGTAGAAAGAAGCTTCCCTTCTTGTGGATAATGAGGCGGTGCCTAAAAACCACATATATATAATCCCATGTGGTATTATACATTCTGCAAGCCCTGTTAGTGGGGAGATGGTGGCAATAGCAGCGATAGTTGCGTCAGCGCTAACTGCTGCTGCTGCACGTTCTGTTGGTGGCTGCTGGCCAAGTGTGCACACTTAGCCCTGGTTGAGGTGCATTGTCTGCTGTGGTCTGTTAAGCATCTCACCAGAGTGGGAGGGCACATCAAGTGATTTCACGGATTGATGGATTCTTGTTTTATGCCTCACAGTACCTGAGCCTATAATTTGCTTTTTGTGTACTTTTCTTGCACACTTAGCCCCGAGGTGCACTGTCTGCTGTGGTCTATTAAGCATCTAACCAGAGTGGGAGGGCACATCAAGCAATTTCACTTTCTTAAATAAAAGATTTTTAGGTATTTTTGGTATTATGTATTCTCTAAGGCCGGAAGCGACTTATAATGACTTTTCTTCTCTTCCAGAATTGTAACATTATAAAACTACTCGAGTAAATATCCTAACAAGTATGATTTTCCTTGGGACAACTAAAAATTGTACATTCATGCTTCAGCCATATCATGGACCTAAACTATGAGAGTTCAGAAATATATAAAAGTAGAAAAATCATCAAAGGTACTTATTTCCAAATACGGAGGGAATGAATTTGAAGATGGAACAATAGCATTTTTCGAACTTATTTCTCTCTAATCCAGCCTGGAGGATTTTTAGCTCAAAACAGTTACATGTGAAGGTTATCAGGCGTCTTTGCATATCCCTTTCATATCTACCTTCACACATGACAGCTGAATGCATTTTGCCAGTGAGGCTCTAGATATGAAACTTAGGGATCCATAGATAAATAAGCTACTAACGAACTGATAACAGTGGGGTTCCTTCTCTCTGTCGTGTCTCCTGAGTCTGTTTCACATTTTTGAGCCTGGCTAATCTGAGAAAAAGAGCAAAGTAGGACCATGACCCAGTGTTCTCCTGTAAATCTCACCGTAAAAATCTCAGTGTCAAAACACTGAGACAGGAGTGAGACCAGCTGCGGGTGGGAAGTTTGTGCTCTGCAGGTTACCTCACGGCATATCAAAAATGGCTTTTTTCTTCACTGCGCTTAAGGAAAAAGTCAGATGTGTGGCAAGGTGGTTCTGTTTAGAAGCAGCAGGCAATGTAGTTAACAGCATAGACTTCTATGTCTTGTGTGTGGTACCTTGGGCAAGTTACTAATTCCCAAAGTAGAGATGATGGGGACTGTCTCACTGTGACAAGGTACGTGTTAAGTGAGATGCACACGAAAAGCTCAGCACAGTGTCTGGCATCTAATATGTACAGGGCAGATGTCGCTACTGAATATCACATCAATGCTAGGTCTGTATTTACTGTCACACACAGGAACCGGTAAGTGACTTTACCAGAGAAAGTCACAGGTACCTTTATCTGTGATGAATGTAATGTGTTAGATGCTGACCCAAGTGTTCTCCTCTACACCTGTCTAAAGAGAGCTAAGTCTGATATTTAAGGAGTGATAGCATCTTGCATAGTTAAGAAGGCTTAAAAGATTGCATGGTTTAAACGCTAGAAACATAGATGGGATGTTTCTGCCTCAGTTCTTTTGACTACCTCCTAGGATGGAAACAAATGTTTCGGAGCCTGCATAGTCTTTAGATGGCTGCCAAAGAACTTAAAATCTCCTTTAAATTCTTATCATATGCTTAATTTTGTACTAAGTAAGTGTCCCCAAGCCTTCTACTTGTTCCTTACAGCAACCCTAATAAGTATCTCCATTTTACACAGGTAAAAACTGAGGCTACAAACAATGTGTGATTCCAAATCCTATGTGCTTACTGTGCAAAGATTGAGCTGGATGGTGCATTGCATGTTTGCTGAGTCCCCTTTGCTACTGATGTGAGGATCCTTCAACAGTTCCTCCGATGCCTATTATGGCTGGCATCCAATATGGTGGTGTAATGGAAGTGTACCACTGGTACTACCTTATTAGGTCAGCACAGATCAGCTCAGCTATTTGTTATGCCTTCAAGATGCTACACATTCCAGAATTATTTTCCTTGGCCATCCAAGTGAAGTAGAAGTAGATTGTTGGATTGCAAAGAAAATAATAAAGATTCCCCTAAAGGAATTTATGAGCAGGCAACTTCATTCCTAAGATATTGGGAGGAAACAAGCTGTACCACAACAAATCTTAAGTTTCAAGACTCTCCTATAGGGAGAAACATGGCCAAAAAGACAGGAAGAACTGTGGCTTGTAACTCAATGATGCTGTAACTCCAGGATTGGATCTTAGGTATTCTGGAATCTATCCCCTGAGACTTGGGTATTTCTCAATTTACACACATGCAAGGAGGAAGAGAATTTTTTGAACAAAATGACTGGCTTTGACAAAACTATCTTGCTCTTTTTAAATGTCACTTGATACTAAAACGTGATTTAAAAGCATGTAATGCCTCAGGAGTCTGGCACATACAACCAAATTATCATGCTCAGGATCTTCAGCATTCTAAAGGTACATGTTAGAATGCAGAGTCCTGATGACCTGTTGATAAACATTTTTTTATTAATGAACTGTACATTTAAATAAAAGTTTATTTTTGAGATAATTGTTGTGAGCCTTTCCTTTTTCTAGATACCTTTTATAAAAGCTTTTATTCAATTCTTTTTCCTTTTCTCAGCTGAATCACTGAAGATGACTCAGTCACCCCTTTCTAGGAAACAAGTAAGGCCACCCAGGTCTGGACTCTTCAGGCTGAAAAACTGAGATGTTCCCTTTCTTGCC